TATATGAGTTTAAGTAAGATGACAACCAGGCCAAAAGACTAATTGAAGGACCAAATGTTGCCATACATATATTTTTTTAAATAGTGAGTATTTACATTTATAATTTCATTTGTCGACTTTCGTATATATATAGTATCAATTATACTGTTATTGAATTGTACCTGCTCCGGTTTGCTTTTTCACGCATTTATTTTGCACTACTTTTATTTCTTTGTATAATAACTGTGCTGTCAATGAAATCACAGTGGATTAACACATTAAAGCAAATTTCACCCTACCGATAAAAAAATCGCTGCAACTAGCCAACGTTGTGAAAATGTGCAGAGATGTATAAAGTGAGTGGCCAGACACATTGACATAGATATGGGGAAACATGCAAGCAAAAAACGAATAAATTCGCACATGATTTAAAAAAGTATATATTTATTTACAAACAGCGAAATTGTGGTGCATTTATGTGAATTAAACTAGAAATACAATTTTAGTTGGAAAGGTTTGTTAAATTTGTTGTGAAAAATTTATACTGGGAAAAAAATGTTTAAAAAATATTTTGAAGTTTGCGTGTAAAACATTTTAAATTCATTTTTAAATTTTGTTTTTTTAATTTCAATTAAATAAATTTTGTTTTTTTTAAATTATAATTAATGATTTTTATAATTTTAATAAAATTTTTAATTGTAATAATTTTTTTTGTTATAATTAACTTATATTTTCCATTGTTCTTTTTATATACAGAATCCATATTTTCGTTTAAAAATCACCAGGCGCTCAATCTAATAGTTTACAGGGTTGTATTTGTGAACGAAATTCCACAGAAAATTATCGCAATACAATAGATGTCCAAAATATTTTTTTAGTGCCCATTTATTATTTTTCTCTATTGAAACATTTATATACAAAGCTAATTTGCAACAAAAACTCATTCAAGCACCTAGCATAATTTCCTACAGGGTCCACACCAACATTTCATGCTCAATCATAAATAAATTCTTTATAAGTGTGCGTTGGTGGTAAGTACATTTGAGCTAGTTGAAATGGTCAGATGCCAAATAAATGATTGTGTCATAAATAAATTTATATCTGTGGCAGCAGAAAAAAACTAAATTTTTTATCGCGAGCGTGCAAAAGTATCAAAATACGCTGTAAAAACAGCTTTTGGCGGCCACAGCACAATACGAGAGATAATAAGCGATAAAAAGATATGAAATGAGAATGTCACCGACTGTTCAATGCGTGGTTTTGTGTTACTATTTTCAGCATTGTGCCACTTTTTTTAGCCTGTCAGTGAGAATTTCGGTTTGGTTGGTAAGGTAGGTGAGCTTGTAGTAGATCTAATATGAAATTTGCTGTGAACAGTGTAAAGCTCATACCGAAAATTATTATATTTTATTAAATAAGATTTAAAAATTCCGCTACTGAAATTTGATTCGAAAAATCTAAGGTTTAAAACATTTCGGAAAATTTCTATACCAATCAGAAATTCTCTGAATTTTTGAGTTTTTCTTGAAAAAAATTAATTTAGCTTATATTATATTGTATCAAACTTTATCTTTTAAACTTTTTTTAAGTAATATTTTTGTCGGGCATCACTGTCAGTACTGATAGTCATGTTTTCCATGACATAACCTCAAAAAATGTTGCACATACACTCGTTGAAGCATGCTGGAGATAATGCTTTTAGAGTTTTTCAAAGATTGAAAGTAGATAAAATGATGAAAAAAGTTTACAAATACAAAAACAATGAACAAACATACAATTTCAATAGAAGCGCTTTGAAAAACATCGACACATTCAATAAAGATAAATAATTGTACAATAGTAAATGAAGCCGTTGTATTGAAAAAAACAGTAAAGAACAGTGTGCTTAAAAAGTATGTGCTAAAGTAAATACAGTTTGTAGATATATGTAAATGTATGTATGTTATGTATGTATGTCTATATGTATTTACACAAATGAAAAGCAATTTATCATACGCAAAAATGGGCTACCACTACAGATAAATTGCTAGTTGGACGCACTAAATTTTATAGCATGACTGTCGCTATTACTGGGCACATGTGGCCAGTAGGAAATTTTGTCAAAGTTGGCATGCAAATATTTTTATATACCAAAATCACGTCTATATTTTTATAATAAGTATAAAATATTTACTTTTAAAGCAGTGCGAAGTTTTGAAAATTATTTTTAAAACTGTTAGATTTGTTTTGGAATATGTTCGAAATAATTTTAAGTGTATTAGGCACTAATACCTAAACGAAATTGTAATTTTCATTATAAATCTGAATATTCGTTCATTAAAGTGGCAATTATATGCTTTAAAATTATTAAATGCTTCTCAGTACTAAAATTTGTACGATAACCATCGTCAAAAACTAACACAGTGCATTTGTGTTGTTAAATTATAAAGTAAACACAAATATGTCCTAAAAATAATTTTTTTAGATATTTAAATAGTTCCGTTGCTTTTCTTACAGGGTGTTTTTACTAGCAGATGCATGGTATACATTTTATAAATATAGTTTCAGACGCCGCTTTTGCTACGCTTGTTTATCATAAAAACCACATTTAGTCACAGCTATGTATATAAATAAAATTGTCAGTCGCCTGTTTCCGATTTCCGGTTTACTTTTAGTTTTGTACATGTGAGTTTTCAAGCAATTTTTTACTATTTGGAGTTTGGTAGAGACAAAGGCAACGAACTCCTATGAATTTAGTTATTTTTACACATATTTTAGTACTTGTATAAATTTACATGTTTTCCTACCAGAAATATTCAAAAACTCAATTTAAAGCTTTTCGAAAAGCCGTGTGCTTTCTTTTTAATTTTTTTATAAAATATATATAATAATGCTTCAAAAGTGGGTCACAAACGAGCTTTTTCCAAATTTGATATTTTCATAATATAGTAAGAAATGGTAATATTTAGCAAATGATAACCTATGCGCACTAAAATGTATTACCGAAGCTCTAAAACTGTTATGCAATTCCAAAAGTATGCAATTTATTTTTATATTAAAAAAAAATATTTGAATGTATATCTCTTCGTATTATAAAACAAGAACGTTAACTTGGGCTGTATATCATACCATTCACAGGTGCACTTTTTATAGCATAAAATGGTATAAAAAGAACTTAATTCTGATTTTGATCGATCAGTTTGTATGGCAGCTATAAGCTATAGTGGTCCGATATCCGACGGTTCCCGAAAATGAGCAGCTTCTTTGTTAGAAACGGACGTTTGCAAAATTTCAGATTGATATGTCAAAAACTGAAGGAATAGCTCGCGTATATACAGACGGCCAGAACGACAGACAGACAGAGATAGAAAATTCAACTCAGTTCGTCATCTAGGGTCTCCAACGTTTTCTTTTGCTTTTAACAAACATCGTGGCAAACTTAATATATTATATTCATGGTATAAAAATTAGTAATTTAGTATTATTTTTGTTTAGCATCGTATTCCAAATAAATTTGCGCACTTTTTGGAAAGTGCTGTAAAATATGTGAAATATTGTTTTGAAAATAAGTTAGAATAAAAAATTCGAAAGAGAAATCACTTGGCAACATCTAGCATGAAAATGAGAGCTAAACTGCTAATCTTGTTGATTAATTTTATTTAAATGTAGCATACTTTTCTGTGATCATTGACAGTTTTGTAAGCACTGGTGCCTTGATGTAATATGTGTGCTTTTGAGGCGCAAATTTCCATGGCAATTAACGCTTTAAGGCGCATGATTTTTTTATTTTAATATTTTCTTTATTTTTTGGTTTGTTTCAAATTAAAATTTTATTATATTTATTAAAAAAAGTATAATCAACTCTTTTTTTCGATATTACTAATTCTTTTTTAGCTGCGACATAGTTTCTTGCAACCAAAATATCTGAATTTCATGAAATTTTTTCTAAGAAAGTCTCAATTCAATGCCAATAGTGTTACCTTAGCAACCAAAAAAATTATTTTTATTCAAAACTTAACTTAAAATTTTCCCAATTTTCGTATGTAAAAATGCAAATATAGTTGTAGCCCTATCGGGTATATTTGAATTAGAAGCATAAAACTATTTTAAAATTATTGTACAAAAATATTAAATGGCTATATTATTAATTTTTTATGTTTATTTTTAAAAGTTTCTACTAAAATTTTGAATTTTTGATATATTTAAGTGAATATCTATAAGAATTCTTAGTTGTATATAAAGCCTTTTATATATAAAAAATCATATATTTGCAGTCCAATATTATTAACTATTTTCCATACTTTTCGAAAATATATAAGTTCTGTACTATCGCTACTCGAGAAACACACTTAAATTTATTTGTTTTTATTAACATAGCTCAGTACATAAACTCCAGTATAATTATTGAGTTTTAGAAATTAACATCTTCCCTCAATAAAGCATTCAAACTTTTGGTTAAGCCCTTCATTGTTCAAAAAGTTTTCAAAAAATGAACAAAATACGCAAATGAGTTCCCAAAATAGTTATAACTACAACGATATTCAAAACTGTAGCAAGTAAAAAGTTGAAGTAATTAGCAAACATACTTCAAAAACTATTTATTTGCATCGAAATGTATCCATACGGCAACACTGGTTTCAAATTTACATACATAGATCTCACAAATGAATAAAAAATCTAGAAAATCTTTAGAAATTTTTTTTTTCTGTGAACGAATTCGTAATCCTGATATTTTTAATGCAGATTTTCTATAAACAAAATTTTAAATAAATTTATTATTTATCAAATGTTAAGACACCTACTAGTAAACACATACAGAGTTACTAATACTTACTGCTTAAAATGCTTTTATGACACTCTGCACATATTTTGCTAGTATAAAAAGCAAAATCTCTAATTTTTTTAATTAAAAAAAATATTTATTTATTTATTTATAAAAGCAAATACAATTATAAATAAATATATTTATATATATATGGTAACCATACCACTCCACCAGTATATTTTTTACAATAAAAATTTATTACTTTCTCTACTTGCAGCTCTTTCCACACGTCAATAATAAAAACATAAAACACCTGAATACAAACAGATGTTTTAAACCGGACGCTGTCGATCATGCGCAAGAGCTCGTGCGGTTTTAAGAAGTGTGAATTTTCGTATTGTGAAAAAGAAACATGCATACATATAACAATAAAATAAAATTGTGAAAATGTGAAAAAGATTAACGCATAACGTTAAAAGATTTTGTGTGAGAATCGAAATAAAATGCACAAATTGTGGCATAAAATATTGTGCAAGCGTGACATGCGGAAATCCCAAAAAGTCATAAACCATACATTTTTATCATAATACTCTACTACTTATGTTGTGCTGCTATTAAAAATTTGCAAAAAAATATATGAAAAATTTAGAAAACCAGCAAATCAGTCAAATCGTGCAATTACACTTTATTAAACTAAAAAAGCAAATAAATAAAGCAACAACTAACATAAACTTCAATTCTACGCTATCCAAATTTCATAACTGCCAAAATGTCCACGCAAGTCTCCGCACCCTCTTGGTCACTCTGCATTGTTCTAGCTTGCATACTCGCCAGCCATTGCACGCAGTCGTCACGTGCACGCACCAGCCCATCGACAATGACACGCAACATCGAAGAAGAAAATGGTGAGTGGAAAATTAAGCATTATTTTTATTATATTTTTTAGATTGGATAATTAGCAGTAAGGATGAAGAAGTGTAATTACTTATTTGGAAAAAAATTTGTAAAATTAGAACTTTATATTACCCTTTGTGGGCTTCTGTAGAACTGATATATACTTGTACACATGTTTTGAGCAATACTAAAAATCAATCAAAATTGTTGCCAGCGGTTCAATTGGAACTTCGGCTACCGTGGTGTTTTTCCTATTAGAAGCAAACTTCTTCTATAACTCACGGAACTATCAATTAGTACTTCGGCACCGGATTATTACAATATTTCGGCTAGTCAATAATTCACATTTAAAGAAATTAGAGCAAATATGCACCCATTTTCGGACACTTAACCGCAATTAGACGCCGGCTCCATCACTACCAAACCAACCAGCGTCCCCACACTTGCCACTGATTGTGTTTTCGAAATGCAATTTGGAGAGCGTTTTCATAAAACTTATATGCGGGCAGACGAAGAAAGTTCACTACAACATATGGCAGAGTGTAATTTGCCCAACAAGTTAAAGTCATCAACTCATTTTAATTGGCGGTTACACAAATTAAACCTAGATAGACACAAGTGTGTGGCGGGGGAGCGAACACATACAACAAACATATAAGTTGAGACTGAAGCGCAATTATAGCGAAAAGACAGGGAGCATGGGAACAAGATAGCAAACAGAAGAAAATCCTTGAAACTATGGGGCTGTTATGCAACCAGCTTCGAGTCGCAGAGCTGCGAAGAGTTTCGACTTTTGTTAAATGACGAAAAAAAAGCGTAGAGAAAACCGCAAAAGAGCGTAATGTGAAGTAGTGAGTAGGAGTGAGTAGGAGTGGGGAGTGCCGTGAGTAATGGCTGGGCTAGCAAACGCTGACTAGACACACATAGAGACAGTGAGAGTTGTTGCAGAAGAAAAGTTTTGGCTAAAATAAATTCAAATTCAAAGCACACAAAATGGATCTATGGACTAAGTATATAAATGGCAGCAAGCGGAGCTACGCTCAGCGGGTGGATATACATATGTTGAGTGGAGAGCGAGAGCATAAAATATCGAAAATAAAATGTCGAAAGTGAAATTTGGCGGAAGTTGGGACACGAGTGGGAGTGCTGGGCGCAGGTGGGTGCTACAGTGATTAGGTTAGATTATGCAAAATTTAGTAGCTGCCGCGCCAGAGTGTGAAGCTGAGCTGCGAACTAAAAGGCGAGGCGATTAAAAATGGAATATTAGAAAGTAAAAGCAAAACGAAAGGCATATAAAAAAGTTAAAAACCATAATTGCTTGAGCTAGAGTGTAAAGGAGTGAGAGCGCCGTAAATAGTATACACTTCAAAGTCTATGCAAAACTCGTGCAAAGTTTTAAAATCTTTCGTACAACAAATCCGTAACGCTACCATTGCGCCGAAATCAGTTAGTCAAGCGAAAATTAACCAACTGAAAGCGGTCAAAAGCGCTATTGATTGAAAAGTGCAAAGAAAATTTGAAACAACTACAATAAAGTTTGGTAATAAAGAGCGATGGCAATGCAAAAAAAAAAAAAAAAAACAAAAAAAGGAGAAGATTACAACAAAATTGTGAAGCAGAGCGCAAACGGGCGACAGGATTAAGTATTCTTCGGGGCACGTCAAACTTTTTAGTGCGCACGTGTTGGGAGTTAATGTATAGCAAATTAATAAAAACGCTGCGCTGCGACTGGAGTGAGGTGAGTGATGAACGAAAATCGCACAAAATATCGAAGCAAAAACCGAGAGCTAGCGAATGCACAGCTTGAGACAGCGGTGGCAAGAAATTTTCAAGTGGCGACGAAAGCACGAACACACAAAAAATAAAACTAGGATAGGAAAAACAACAAAAATTAAATAACAAAAATACAACAACAATATAATAGTACAAATACAGCAACAATAACAAAAAATTAACAATAAGAAAAAAATGTTTGAACTACCGTTATAAAATGGAATAGCAAGAAAACCAGCTACAACAACTAAAATACTACAAAAATGCAACAAAAGCAAAACTACAACAACTACCGCCCTGACGCAAAATTGCTTCAAATCAAAAAAAAAAAACAAAAAAGAATACAAAACTGTTAAGAAGGCACCGCAACAACAAGCAGCGCCGAGAAAGGTTAGAAGAACATAAGAGCTTGGTCAAACTTGCCGCAAACTATAAAAATATCCGGAAAAAAATTATTTCCAGCAAGAGTATCGTAAAACTTGGCAAAACTAAAAGCGAAAAAAAAATTACAACAACAAAATTTTTTTTACAACAAAAGTATTTCGTCAGCCAAAAAAAGCGCCAGCCAAAAGTTGCGCATTTCCTCAGTGTCGCTGCTTGTATTATTGTTTATTTGTTGTTGTTTTTGCAATTTACTATAAAGCTACTTTTGCGAATTGTTGCCAGCGATACGCGCGCTCGCATGCATGAGCGCCGTGGCGCGTTGATGGTGCGCATTCAGCGCTGTGGCTGTGGCGAAAGTTTGCTGGAAGTTTTGAACTTGAAACTGAAATTTTTTACACTTTATTACGCTACTTGGGCAATTCATGAAATCAAAAACAAAGCAAACAGAAAACAAAAAAGTGAAAACAAATCATTCGCTGCTGCCCACGCAACTCGCGCAACTATAATAGAAAGCTGTCGCGCGTTGCTCGATTTCATTATGCAACATATGCCTGCTGTGTTACGCTGGCGCAAGAAGCTCAATAAGTTTGCATAAAATCTACAAACATAAATATTACATGAAGCCTCTGTCTACAGGTTGGTTTTGCGCCGCCTTACTTTAGGTGCACACGCACATCCTTGCAGCTTATGCAACATGTAGCTTCACAATTGAACCAAAGCTCAGCGCACACAAGTTTCGACAGCACACTTTTTGTTATTGTTGTAGAAGAAAAACGTGGGAAATACAAAAAAAAAAATAAAAAAAACAGTCCACTCGCCTCTTCCTCCCGCTTAGCATAACATTTTGCCTTTAAGCTCTCCACTGTTGACTACATTTGATAGATAGACGCTGCGCAGCGCTGCTCGTTTTAAGTATTTATTATTATTTTATTGTTATTTTTGTATTTTTTTTTTGTGTGTAACAGCAAACTGTAAGATATGACGTCGCCATCAATATAATCGGCAGTCAAATGTCCAAGCAAAAGTGCCACATTAGCAAAATGTTCGACACCAACAACTCAGATAAGTACAGTTTCAGCATGATTATCCTGCGTAAACAACAACAAGCGTCTTTGTCGTACAAACCTAATCTTTCTGCACACTTTGACAAATTAAACTTTCAAGTAATAAATGGTTAATAGGAATGACAACAATAAAGAAAGTAGCATGAAAAATTTTAAAGTTATCAATAGAGCAGCGGCGCTCAGAGCTGAAACATGCAAACCAACAAAAAAAATAAAAATAAAAACACAAAACAAGAAAAACCGTTAACTTCGGTTGCACCGCAGCTATAATACCCTTCACAGGTGCATTTTTTATATTTATTCATAGCATAAAGGCGCATAAAAGTAGCTTTAACTTGATTTTGAGCGGTCAGTTTGTATGACAGCTATATGCTATAGTAGTCCGAGCTAAACAATTTCTTCGTATATTACATTATTGCTTCAAAGAATAATACATGCCAAATTTCTTAAAGATATCTCGTCAATGACAAAACTTTCCATACAAGTACTTGGTATAAGGGTAGTCAGGGTATAAAAAACCAAAAAAAAAGCAGCAAAAATTTTAGAAAGTTTTATCTATGGCTTCCGAATAGTGTGTGCGCGTGCGTTTTATGTTGTTTTACAATTAAAAAGTTTTGCCATAAACATCTTATGTTTCTCACAACTGCTGTATTTTCAGCACTTTTTTCGTTTAATAACAAAAAAATATTAAAAAGAGGCGTTCAATATAAATTTACAAGGCCTAGACCAAGCTGTTTTTATGTTTTTGTTTTACATATAAAAATATAGGCATGTTACAGTGTGTTGGTAGCGCTATTTTCGACCTTCGAAAATTAAAATATATTGACATACTTTTGTTAAATTGCAGTAGACCTTTAGGCGCTTAGACTTTTGCAGGCAATATGCGTTCGATTGAAGACTGTTTAGAGTTGGAGTTAGTGGTATGGTAAACTATTTTAGCATATTTTAAGTTATTGGCGATTTTTGGGCAAGTTTTCGCTAATTTAATTTTTTAACTTTTATTAATTTGTATATTTTTTTAACTAGAATTTTATTTAATTTATGAGTATAAATATGTACTGAATTTTGTTTTGCTTTATAAAACTATTCCTTGGCTTTAAAATAAATATTTGTTATAAAACATTGTTAAATGGAAATCTTTTAAAAACTTTCATTACGATATATATATTAAAATCAACTTAATTAATATTAGTGCCTGATTTCAACAATTTTTGATACAAGAACACACTGCTATGAGAGCGAAACTATTTCTTAATATCTTTAAAATATCTCGCATATTGACCGGTATATACGGTATAAATTCAAACGAAAGTTTGAAAATCTTTCTATGTAATATATGCATGCTAGGTGCAGTATTGAACCGATGTTAAGCTTTTTTGGTATCACGACATATTATTTCCAAAAAAATATGCTTTCTGACTTTTATTAAGATATCTCACAGATTGACCGATATTTTTGGTTAGAAATCAGCTATAGGCTCTGAGATCCACATATTTGTTAACTGGGATCTTGAAAAGTTGTTGGGACGATAGCCTCACATACCTTAAATAAACTTTGCGTTCAAAGTTTTATTTCGATAACATTCATTGGAAACATATGTAAAGTAGGCATAGTTGTAGTATTACACCCATATCCATAAGAATAGTCTGGTCGTACAGTATCGACAAACGAACGTTCGGACAAACGAGCAGCTTCTTGTTGAGAAAAGGATGGATGCAAAATTTCAGATCTGAGATTCACGGTACAAAAAACATTATAAGTATGTTAAATTTGTTTTTATTATAATTTAATTATATTGTAATTAAAGAAAAATATTTTCATTGAAAAATTATAATTTCACATAAACTAAATTTTAAGTCTATACTGACTTCTCATTCCAAAATACTTTAGTTTTTAAGTGTTTAAACATCTAGCTTAAACACATCACTCAACGAGTGGCAACCGTTCTCTTTTCTGTTTACTTTTTTTATGATTTTCTATTATGTTATACGCCCACATTTTATATGATTTAGTTGATATTATAAACCTTTTTTTCACTTACATTTCTACTTGTTGATTTGAGTACTCACTTTTTGTTTCATTTTGCTTATGTTTACTTTCAGTTCGATATCTTTTGGAAGGTAAATTTACTTTTTATGCATAAATACATGCACATACATGTTATATATACACACACACAATATATGTTATATATATGTTAATACATATATGTCAATTTATATGTATATTATAAGTAAAGTCCATGCTAGAAGTGACACATGAGTAAACTCTATATAATGACCAAAAACAGGTATATGAAAAAGGTTTAATTTATTTACATACATATTTACATATCTATACGTATATTTACCACGCTGTGCGCCATAGCCACAAAGTTGTTGACAAATGGAAAGCTGCTGCGGCTTAGATGGATTTCTTTGCCTTTGCAAACTAACTTTCTAAGCCAACTAGAATCAAGTCAAATATAAACCACCATGAAGGCACGCAAAAAGGTAGCCACTGCGTAACGGAAACTAAGTAAACAGAACGCTATAGTGATACGTATATATATGCATGTATGTGTGTTTGTGTTTCGTGGAAGGCAAAAGGAAACTTTGATAAGTCAAAAGCCCTAAAAATCAACCGAAAATTTGCGACAACAAGAGCGAAGAAGTCGAAAGGCAAAAAGTAGTGTGTGTATGTGTATATATGAATATATGTGCGCCAGCAAGCGTTTTAAACTACTACATAGAGAGTGTGCATACCTGAAGCGGCCATAAGCGCGCCGGGATTCGAAATTGACATCTATTTCTAGCAACAAAAAAGCAACAAAAAATCAACAAAAATAACAAACAAGCATGTAGCTAGCAGTTAGACGAGTCTGTGACGCAAAAAGTTTGCCAGCAACATACTAATATGCGAGAAAATCTACACACACATACATATTTTAGCAGTATTGGCTTTAGTCCCTTTTAGACCCGAAAAAAATTAAAAAAACAACAAAAAAGAAAAAACGTTAACATCGGCTGCAAGCTATAATACCACTCACAGGTGCATTTCTGAAAGCATAAAAAGATTTTTAACTTAATTCCGATTGTGTGGTTTGTATGACAGCTATATGCTATAGTGGTCCGATATCGACGGTACCGGCAGATGAGCTGGTTCTTGGAGAGAAAAGTATGTGTGCTAAATTTTAGATCGATATTAGCAAAGCTAAGTGCATAGTTCACGCGTATACAGAAAGACTTGGCTAAGTCTACTCAGCCCTCGCGCTAATAATTTATATGTAAACTTTACAGCGTCTCCAATTTTTTTTTTTGGTTATTGCAAACTACGCGGCAAACGTGATATACCCTACTCAGGGTATAAAGAGAAAGCTTAGACAACAAAAAATAGCGTGAATAGCAAAAACCCAGCTCACCAGCCATTGGGCGTCAACTGGAGTTGTGTCTTCGATGTGCTGCGCCCAACCTCACTAATTCGAGAGCCTGTTGAAGAAGTTTTGCACTTCTATCGCAGTCCCCCTCGCTATCACATGCCACTCATGCCGCCAAGCAGTGAAAGCTTTTAGAACCAACAAGCCAGCAAAATCCAAGCGAGCTGAAGCGCACGTAAATAGATTTCTTTTTTTTTGCTGTTGTTGTTGTTATTGTGCCAACATGTTGCAGATTTTGTTTTGCGCTGATTCGCTTGCATTTGCGAATTTGCACCGGCATTTTTTGCACATTCTTCACATTGCCGCCATGAGTAGCGTGTGCAACTGCGCGACGCTGTGCCGTTAGAAGCGGCAAGATATTGAAAGTGCATAAATGCAAGGCACATGCACACATAAATTTGTATATGCATATATGCAAACACACATTCATACCTATACATTTATATGGTTACATTTGCAGCCAGCGCTGGGCGTACGTGGCGTATGCGCGACACATGTGTGGCATGCCGTTCGCCATTTGGTGCATTTAGCGATGAGCATGTCGCATGTCGTTTTCTCTTTTCTATTTTAGAAAAGCTTAGCGCTTGCACTTGGCGTTGTATGCGCATATTTTGACACACTTTTCGTAAGCATTATGCTGAAAAACAGGCTTTCTGTGAAAGTTTTTTTTGTGTGTCTGGGAGTGTAAGCTTTTTAATTTTTATAAAAGGATTTGTGCTTGCTTTAGAGTTAAAAATTTGAAAATTGGTTGTCGTTTTACATATATAACGAAAAATTATAATGCTTTCAATTTCTAATAAGCTTCTACTTGTGCTCCCTTGAGACTCTGCTAGGCGCTTGTGAGCTCTAATGGTTTTTAAAATGATAACTGGAGGCCGCTATTCGTCACAGTATATTAATATGGCATGCTACTTCTTAGTATTTCGTTGACAATCAACCACAAAATTAATTATAGTCCACTCGCCAAACTCAGTCTATTGCTGTAGGAGATGTTATAAGAACCCTGGCACGTTTGAAGATATGGCGGCAGAAAGGAAGCTGGAGTATTTCTTAAAAACAATTTTTGCTTTAAACATATTATTTATTTATAATCGAGACTAAGAGAAGAGTCACATAAATACAGTTAATTTACTATTAGCTATTTCATATTTGAGACAATATATATGTACACTTGTGAATTTCGAAAATCGATTTTTATCCTTACATATATATCAAATGTACATATTATCCACAAATTTGAAACTGATCCGACAAATATGTACTTTCGGAGTTATGAACCTATTTATTTGTAAGAATTTTTTAGCTTGGTGTAATCGGCTATCAAAACTTTTTCTCGAAACGAAAAATTTCCGAGACGGTGGGGAAAGTTTCTACGAGCGATCAACTTGAAATTTTCATACGACCCTCTTAGATATATTTTTCAGGTAAAGATCTAAGCAATAAGATTTTTAATAATAACCTCGGTTTTTTAAACCACTCTGAAGTGTAAAATTTCTCACAAACAACGACTTTTTTTGGTAACCCGAAATTTTGTCAATAGTCAAATTTTGATTATTCCTTCGATCATTATCAGTAGTCATCTATACATTTTCTTTTTTGTTTTCTGGGTTAAAATTTTTTTGAAACAAAAAATCTTTCTCATCGGCAGACAACTTATTTCGAAGGTTCTCCTGTTGATCGGCTACGGTATCAAGGGTATCAAAAATTTTTCAAAATGAGTCACCGATTATCTAAGTATCTTAAATGCTGTAAAAGTGCATTCTTTATAAATTTTTAATAAATAAGTTGCATTTAAAAAAAAACAATATTAACAAAAAAACTCGTTTTTTTCTGATTTGTAAGTGGATATAACCAGTTAATAGCAAAAAACTGTCCTCAAAAACAAATCGAAGCTCGGTAAAATGCAAAATTGTAAGCATCGGTTTGTCAAATTCTGCTTGGAAATTATTACCAGAACATCAAATTCTCATAAAAAGTTTGCTAAAAAATCACTCTCTGAGTCTCTAATTGTACTTTCATTTAATAATAGCATACTTTTAGGCGCATTGGTTAAAATAAAATGTTTGAGTCCTTGAAACCTTTGAAATTAGAATTGTAAAGCAGCTAAAAGTCACAAGTTTTTGAGTTGTAACATCGAAGGAATGGAGGGTGAAGAAGGAGGGTGAAAAAAGCAGCTAAAAGTCACAAGTTTTTGAAATGTTGCGAAATAAGAGCAGACTTGGTCGCTACCACTAATGATTTTCCTACCAAATAAAGCATTTAAACTTTTACCAAACCTTTTTAATTGATGTTGGAAACTTTAAACTAAAAATTGAGCCTTCGCAGATTCTAAATTTTAAATACAATTTATTTTCTAACTTTAATTATCGAAATATCATTCAAGCAGCACCATTATACTTAAGGCAAGTTTTAGGTAGCAATTTAAGCTGTCTTTAAAATTCATATTTCCATTTTCGCGTCTTAAGGATACCGCATACCGCATCCTTGCATACCGTACTCATATTGCAGTCAATTTATATTGCTTAATTGTCAATCAGGGCGGTCATTGCACTTGCTTTTCAATTAAGTAATATTTTTTAAGAAAACTTACCAAGAAAAAATATTATTTTGGGTATACCACGTGGCATGTGTGCACATTCAGCGTGACCGCCTAAAAGATTGTAAAATAAAACTGAACGACAACAGCATACAGCCAACGCAAACCCTACTTACAGTGCACATTTCACACAAAAGTTGACATTAAGGCAAGAAAGGACGATAAGTTGGCGCATGGAAGGTTAGCAATAAAATTGACTAATCTTATGAAAATGATAATAAGGCGAAAATAAATTCAAGCAACCCTTTTTACGTAGTCTTCACAACGCAAAACGACAACAATTGCTGGCGTAGGGAAGCATACTTTTAGGAGCGTACTTGGCAATACGAGCGCAAAGCTTCAATATAGCAGTATATATATATATATATATACTCTTATATATATTGTTGTTTATATATTATATATTTCCGCATATATATTTATGCATATCAAGCTATAAGTATGCGCTTATCTATTTTGAATTATGCAGGCTACCGAGCAAGTTTCAGCGCAGGCTAAAAGCTAAGTAAACAACGTGGTAATGCGGGCGCGCTTAAAAAAACAATGTAAATGAATACAAGTAATAGCAGAAAATTGTGTACTTTACATGTAGGCGTGCGCCTTAAGCCCTTTTTTGGTTGTGGTGAAAGCAAAAAGTAAAAGCATAAACTCCAGAAAATATTAAGCAATACAAATATTTTACTAAGTTACGCCGTTTGTAAAGCGCGCCGCACGAGTGGCTGCCGAAATGTCATAAATGTTGGACAAAACATGAACAAAAGCGACCACTGAAGCAGCAAAAAATACGGAGATTTTTGAAAAATAATAACAAAAGCGACAACGCAAAAAATTAACTTTCATCCTTTACCAATCGAGTTTATGGTCCGTTTTAAGTGCTTTGTCGCATTTCTTTACATTGCTTTGGCTGTACTTGGCTTCATTTCAGTTTTATTGCGGCTACATAAATATTTTTTGTTGCTTTGAGTTGGTTTGCATGCGTTTGCGTATATGTGTGCGCGCTGGCATGCGTCTGCTTGTCTACTTGAGCATATGATAAATGTGCTTGCAAAGCTTTGAAATGAATAAATACAGATATGTGTACAAATGTTGTATATATTTATACATAAACA